AAGAAGAATCCTGAAGGAAGGTCTTGTTACAAAGAGAAGAATCCTGGAAGCCCTGAAAATAGCAGAAACACCCCACCTGGCTGAGTTCTATTTGGCATAGATCTTACTCACCTGGATTTTCCTCCAGGTTTCCTGGGACCAAGTAGCACACCACTATCAGTGATCTGTATAACATCTCCTCTCTCAAAGATTTTTTTCTTTGTCGGTCCTGGTCACTTCCCACCTATTTTATCTCTTATTTTTTTTCTCTATACTCTTGCTCTCTCTCAGCTCCCCCAGACCTCAGCAYCCCCCAGGCAGCTCCCAATGGTCTCCATCCTTTCCTCTCTCCTCCTCAGACCTTGTCTTTCACCTTTAGGCAGGAGAGGTCTGTCTGTTGGTTGAATAAGGAAGTTAGAAGACAGGTCTGTGGGTAGGTTTGTTTAGAACACAAATCAAAGGCCAACTTCTCTGAGAGAAAGAAGTAGCATCTGCAAGGGCCATGCTGTTCCTGCTACTCCCCTTGCTCGCTGCTCTCTTCCCAGGTGGTGACAGTGAAGGTGGTAAGAACTGAGGTATCTGACCAGATGTGTGTGTGTGTGTGTGTGTGTGTGTGTGTGTGTGTGTGTGTTTGTGTCTGTGTTGATGGCAGTTTCCCCTGCACACACCTGGAGAGAACGAGGGCCAAGCTGGCCCCATTCTGCTTGTTCTTACTCAAGCCCTCTGTGCTGTCATGGAGGATGTTGATGGAGCATGGGACCCTGGGGGCCAGCAGACGTCAGCTAAGGTGACGGTGGCTCTCCACTTTTCCAGATTCTGAGTCTCCCCACTCTGGCACCTTTCTGTTCCCAGTCTCTCTCCCAATGTCACATTCCCCACTTTCTACCTGTTCTTCATCCCAGGGTTTGAGGAGCCTGTCTCCTACCATCTCCTCCAGACGTCGTCCTTTCACAACCATTCCTGGGTACATCTGRGCTCAGGCTGGTTGGGGGAGCTGCAGACTCACAGCTGGAACAGCAGCTCGGGTGCCTTCATTTTCCTGTATCCCTGGTCCAGGGGCAACTTCAGTAACAGGGAGTTGGTGGATCTGGAAAGGCTTTTCCGGGTAAACTTCATTGAAATTCAGGAATTTTACACTAATTACTTCATGTCTGAAGGTGAGTTTAGTTCCATTGCTGGGGAGAAGAAAGGTAGGAGGGGGGTGTCTCAGTGACCTTTTTGATCTGTGGTGCTGGGGATTGACCCCAGCCTTGTGCATGTGAGGCAAGCTCTCTATATACTGAGCTGTATCCTCAGCCCTCAGTGAACTTCTTATTCCTGTAGTAAACAGCCTACGCTGTTCCCAATCTTACTCCACTCTCTTGAGCATAAAACTGCAACCACACTCTGGGAAAGTGCTATACACCAGAACCCAATTCTTCAAAAACTTCAGTTTTTGCCATTTGTAAACTGCTCCCTCATTGCCTGCAGGGCTGTGTGTTACCGTCTCCCCTCAGAGGCATCCTGTGGCCACCCTTTTCCCCAGTAATCAGCCAGGTGCCTT